GAGATTCGATACCGAAAAACGAATGAATGTTACTTGTATTACACAGAGTTTATTACCGATTTGCTATGTACAATGGCTTGCCTATGTAAAATGAAGTCGTTTCTTATCAAAAATGTTGTTAGCAAACGTTTGAGCGAACTCCCGTCGTCTATTTCAATTCACTATCCGCCTTATGTATCAACTCCAGCAACATTTTCCACCGTATGCTTCGGTGGAGCTTCTCCTCTAACTCCTCCAACTCTCGCCCACCCTTCATGAACGTTCTTAAAGAATGTATCGTGGAATTTGATAACCTATGATCCGTCACACGGTCTTGATTGTAATTATATGTTCTAATCTTTTCGTTTCTGGTCTGTTTTCCCACCTGCTTCTTACGCAATCCACCGATAAACGAAGTTTGCTTCTCGTACTGCTGCTCGTACAGTAAGCTTCTTAATTTCATTAAAGCCCACTGTTTGTTCCTTATCTGTGACTTCATTATCTGGCAAGTTACAGCTATACCAGTCGGTAGGTGAGTTACTCTAACTGCTGAATCCGTACTATTTACATGCTGGCCTCCTGGACCGGAAGATTTTTTCCCTTCTATCTTTAAATCTTTCTTATTCAGTACAATTTCTATTTCCGAGGGCTCTGGCAAAATAATCACTGTGGCCGTACTTGTATGCATTCGACCAGATCTCTCTGTCGCTGGTATTCTTTGTACCCTATGTACACCACCTTCGTATTTAAATTTCATATATGCCTGAGTGCTTGTCACTGCTATAACAGCTTTCCTTATACCACCTGTTTCATTATTGTCCATTTGTATTATTTCATAGTCTAGTTGCAAGTACTCTAAATACCCTATGTACATGTTCAATAAATCATGGGCAAACAGCATAGCTTCGAGCCCTCCTACACCTGGTATTATTTCTATAATAAGATTGTTATAGTTTTCTTCATCCAAATGCTGTAAAATAACATCCAATATCTGTTTATCGATATCTTGCATCTGCTGTACATACATTGCTTCCTCTTCTTTAACAAGGCTTTCCATGTCTTTATTGTTACCAACTAAAAAGCAATTTATCTGTTATGTTGGTATTAAGGAATACAACAAAGGTAACAACCATATACAAAATAATGAAACCATGATGTTTTATATGAATCTTATTAGATGATAATTCTAAGAACTCTCATGTAACATCAGTGCTCCAAAATTCTTTAGGCGCATATGACATGCATAAACGTACACTGAATAGTTTGATTCCATTACCTATTTTATAATTTTCATTCACCAATAAATAAGCAGCAAAGGTAAACGGTATATTCTATTTAAATAACTTTCAGCGATTTCCTACAATAAGAAACTAACGCAAAAGATTATAGTTCCATTATTTTGTGGCTAGAATGCTCGAAGACTTACCAAAGTCCTTTAAACTGTTCATGTTCTGTAGTATACATAATTTTTCATTCAACAAGTGCGACAATGTTTGTACTCCCAAAATTTCCTTGATACTTTGACTTTTCACATTCTTATTTTGGTACGCGGATATAAGATAATTCATATACCTTTTGACATTTTCATCAGTCACGGATAAATTAGTTTTTGTACAGAATAGATTCTTACAAATTGGAGGGACTTCTGTGTTGAGGTTAAGCAATGCCGGAAGACTAGATTCAAGTGATTTAACTTCATTAACTGTGTTCCTCAAGCTACAGGACATGTTAAGAACATGTCCTCGTAGAAGGAACAACATATTTCAGGCTAAATTATGAAATAAAAATATACTCAAACCGCCGAATACATTCCGAAGAAATCCTATCCCTCCATGGCGCACTATTTTCAACTGAAGCAGCGATGCGCGTGTCGTCTGCTATCAGGATGGAAAACATTGAAGACCTATAATCAATTAAAACATTTTTTCAAACACCTTACAGATAACATATGCTTAAGACAGATCTACATTATTCGTTGCATTATACTTCATACGTGTACACACATTTTCCTTAAAGCAAACCTGTTCCCATAAAAACCGTAAACAGAAGATAATTAAAATCTAGATTGGCCATTCACGACGCCGTCGATTTCCTCTATTGGTAATAGTAAGTTGTACCACCATTTCGATAGTTTTTACAATCTCGATTCAATTAAGTTTATCCTGTTTGCATACTGTTGAAAACCACGTTACCCGCTCACATCGGCTCTCGTCAAATTTATTTTCGCCTTATCACCTCGATTTCGGATGCGACATTCGCTTCGGTGACCTCTTTCTTTGCAATCATGTTTCAGCCAGTTTTCTAAAACGTGCCAAGTACCACTATGCCCGCCTGCATTGGAAAATAACAACACTTTATTGTTATTTCATTCAATGGTACGCATCGTGAAGCATCAAGGTGCGTGAGAGAAGCGCGCGCGTGCGGAAGTGAAACGAAAAACATATTCCACCAATTGTATCGATTTTCTAACGAGTACACACGATTCGCCGTTAATATATTTCTGTCTTGTCCCTGCAACATTATACATATAATACCGTTCCATAATACACGACACAATGAAAGCACCAAAGCGAGTATGATCCCCTGATAACTCGTCATAAATTTGTAACCGTGCATTTTCATCGTGGAATCGTGTGCGTTCGGCGTCTCATTAATTCCAAAAAGCACGTGTCTAGGACACGATTCCAAGGTACGAATTTTCCCGATTATAATTACAAAACGACTTGCTTCGCCGTGGGTGTGAGTACTCTATACCGTTGGCTTAACTCGTAGAAACAACTTTACATGTGCATGAGTAAATAGGAATCTAAATGTGTATATATATATATAAATAAAATTAATTCATTGTCTAATTTTTCGACGAGAACACCTTTATGATTTTAATAATCGTGACACAAGAAATTAACCATTTTATTCTATCTGATTATTTTAAAGTTAATGTATCCAGAGAATAGGAATAAGAAATATAAATATATATATTTAATATCGCGGTCCTTGTCTCTCTCTTTCTCCAGTTTGAAATACCTCGACCGAGCCAGTTACCGATCCCTATCCGTAGCGTTGTGAATTTCATCGTAAAGTTTTTCGCCGATTCGATGCGTTGAACGTCTATGGGCGTTCAATGAATACGATCTTCGAATAGAACCACGGTTAAATCTGCACGCAGCCATGCTTCAAACATTCAAATTTCAGTGTGAAAGAAAAAAGTTGTACATTATTGATTCGTATCATCGTCACGCAAGAATGCTCGTGTAAAACAATACGATGCAGCGCACAATCGCGAAATATGTGTATCTCGTTGCATAGCGAAAACAAGGCACGCGAGCGTGTCATGTTCGAAAGGAAAACGTTGGGGCTTTGGCGTCGTAGTGTGAAAGGGTTAAAACGTTGGTATATGTAACGCGGGACGGTAGCGGTCATTTCATGAAATAACGTTGAAGGCAATTCAAAATGTTGCTCAATTCGAAGTAGGTAGCTCTGATATTCGGGACAAGTGCGCCAGCGTACCGCACAAGATAGAGAGAGAGCGGCGAGCAACGAGAGAGAAAGAGGAAGACACGCACGGTAGACCAGTATAGAGCGGCACGAGCAGCTACGATTGACGATATTATTTTTCATTAAAACAAGCAGCACGGGAATTTCGAAAAATACGTGCGGAACGTGACAAGGTAAGCCGTCGAATTCTCGATGATTAGTTAAACGGACTCGATAGCGATAGATAACACGTTTGTTTCATTGCTGATTAACGAGGAATCGAAATTAATTCGAATGTATTTATGTGCAGGCTTTATAATATTATAACGAAATCATGGAACCTTGCGAGGGCTGCACGCAAGAGAAAGTGCAAGAAGGAGGTAAGATCGAATAAATAGTTCTATTCTGAATTAATTTGCAGTCATGATTCGCGCTATTTTTATTATATAACGTCGACGTTTGTTTGCGGTAAAATCAACGTTTTCTATTGTTCGGTAACCTTTTTAGTTTTTAAACTCGGCTCGCTGACTGTTGATCGGGAATTCCATTGTGACGGTATTCAACAAACTTTTAATATGTTTCGTATCGATATGGAGATCGTTTGTAATTATTAATGAGACGCGCAAAAAAAGTTAATTTTATTTCATCGATCGTTGTCACGGCAATCACGGATCATTGCGATTTATCTATAATTCTAGTTAAAAACGTACTATCGAAGTAAGTAATATAAGATTTTTTTAAAATGAATTCTTATTTATATTTTATTTATAAATTAATGTGAATAAAAGTAATTCAAATTACAACTATATTTTTTAAGGGCATTTAGTTTCTGAATATTATATATAATATTTATATATGTCAAATATATTATAATTATAAATATATGATATAATTTATTCACATAAATATTTTTACTTTTTTATGCAGAAATGTACTTGATATAGGTCAATTTATATTGAAAAATTAAATTCTATGAAATTAAAAATAGAATTTTATGTTTTAGAATATGGATTCTTCTGGCAAGATTATCTTGATGCTACACAAAGCGTTGAAGTACCGCAGATTATGTTCCCACACGTGGAACTTACATTGCAAAGTGGTATTGAAATTGGTATGTCACTTGAAGTGCCACATCCAAAAAATGCAAACGAGGGAGATCACAAATTTTGGGTGGCTTCCATTGTTATGGCATGTGGACCTCTGTTACGTCTACGATATTTTGGTGGGGATGATAGATCCTTAGAATTTTGGTTCAACCTTACCAAAGAAGCTGCTCATGAGCTTGGTTGGTGTATGAAGAATAACAAAAAATTAGAACCTCCTGACATTGTACTTCAGAGGTCTCCAGACTGTGTAGAAAAGTTAACTGAATTTTTGGCAACAGCTAGAACAGTTCCACCGGAAATGTTGTCAGGGGTAAGATACAAACTTTTGAAAGAATTTTATGATCACAGATTTGAATGTTTATTTTTCTATTCTTAATTTACTATTATGTATGTAGGATGGTCTTAGCATGACAGAGAGAATTAAACAAGGCATGAAGGTTGAAGTTAGTGATACTCTACATCCTTACAAATTATGGGTAGCTACGGTAAGGAACAGTTGATGGGTTTCAGTTTATTTTCATTTTTCTTCTTTCTTACTCAGTAATTTATTTTAGATCATAGAGAATGTAGGAGGACGTCTTCTTCTAAGATATGACACACCTGGCTCATCACGTAAAGACTTCTGGATGTTCTGTACATCAGAACATCTTCATCCATATGGATTTGCTTCTAAGTCAGATTCAACTTGGTTTTTAGAACCACCCAGTTCTATAGTAGAAATGCATACGTATGAAGAATGGAAAGATTTATTAGAAACAACACCAAAAGACAATGGTCTACTGGAAGAATTATTTCATAATAGTGTAGAACATCAGAAACATAATTTTAAAGTTGGCATGAAACTAGAAGCTTTAAGTCCGAGTGATCATATGAAAATATGTCCAGCTACTGTCATAAAAGTGCTTGATGATACTTACTTCCTTGTACACATTGACATGTACGATGACTCTGTAAAAGCAGTTGATATAGAAACATTTGTGTACAATAGTACAGAAAAGAATACTTGGCTTTGCACTGCAGAGCATCCTTATATTTTTCCAGTAGGATGGGCTAATAAGCACAATATTAAGTACGTATAACATATTTTCTTAAATAGAGTTTATACTCTACTACTTTCTGTGTATCCTAATATTTCATTAATTTCCAGAATCTCGGCACCACAAGGTTGGACTTCGAAAGAGGCCGAGTTTGATTGGGATTTGTATTTGAAAGAGACTCGGGCAACCGCTGCAGAAGAAACACTGTTTCCTGAAAGGCAAAGTGCTGCTGATGCAGGCTTTGAAAATGGAATGAGATTAGAAGCAGTTGATCCAGGAAATGAAAACATTATATGTGCCGCGCATATTACAAACATTGTTGATAACCTCTTATGGTTAAAATTAGATAATTATGATAATTCATTGCCGGAGCATATAGTTGATATGCATTCTCTGCAAATATTCCCTGTTGGATGGTGTGAATCTAATCACTATCCACTGAAACCGCCAAAAGATTACGTAGAAGTTTGTAAACCGTTACAAACACCTCCAAAAGAGGACAAGAAAAATAAAGTTTTAGATATACCAATATCTGAACCGCGTTCGTCGTTATGGTGTCCAAAAATATACTTCAACTACCGTTGTTTCACTGGACCCATGATTTCAAAAGGAAAATTAGCCACTTTACCAAAAGCCGTTGGACCTGGTCCTGTAATTTTAGTTATGAGAGAAGTATTATCGATGATTGTATCCGTTGGATACAGAAGTGCCCGTATACTGAAAGTGTTACAATGTGACTCAAAACCAGATCCTGGTTACCACTTAGAAGTGCTAAAGGCAAAACATAAAAATAATACTTATCGTGCCAGTGTTGCTGTTGTCACATCTGGAGACATGGTATCTGACTTTTGCAGAAATATTTGCAAAAAGCTGATGGTGTGCCCAAATCTCTTTGGGCCCTTATACGTACCTGAGAATGAATGTCCGGATAGATGTCATAAAACGTCTAAAGCAAAATTCAGTAAGTATCAACTTTATTAAATGGTTATTTGGTTCTATATTATTGTAATTAATATTAATATCATTCACTTCAGCGGCATCAGTTGGTACTGGAAGAAGAGGGAAACCCAAGGGCTATACTAGTATTATGGTACAGAAGCCAAAGCCATGGGGTGGTCGAAGAAAAAGGAGACGAGGCAGATGGGCAAACAGAGAAAAAGAAGCGCACGATGATTTTGATCATGAAGACGAAATGCCCTTTATGTCACTAGATTTAGCGAAGCATGTATCAGGTATTGAAGGGCACCTCGATGATTCTGAAAGGCCGCAACTATCTGAAATAGATATCATGATTCAGAAGGGTTTAGAGAAAGCAGACAAATCAGACGACTTTAAAACCGAACCACCTTCGAGTAATGCCTCTGAAGATTCTGGAAGCTCGTTTAACGATAGAAAAACAAAAGATGGAGGAAGTCCTAATAACTTGAGTAACAAACAGCATTCGTCCAAGTGTAGTCAAAGCAGTACTGTAACTAGGGCGAGCAAAAGAGAACGAGATTGGGATACAAGTATCGAATCAGACTGTTCAGAGGCAGATGCCGAGTACGTAAGGATGCAGAAAAAACAGAGACGGCCCAAAACACGAAAACTCGATTCAAACCCGCTGTTTTGGAGCGTTGATGATGTATTTAGATACTTGAGGAAAACGAATGACTGCAAAGACATCGCGTATAGAGTCAAACAAGAGGTATCATATATATAAAATAATTTTAGAGACAATAACGTCCAAGTAATATACTCTACAGATTTATTTTATTTTTCAGGAAATTGATGGACTAGCATTTTTATTATTAAATCTGCCGTCTCTAACACAACACATGAAACTGCGGACGAGCTTAGCTATGAAACTTTGTCGCCACGTGGAACAAGTCAAAGTTACATTCTTCTTACGTCATATAAACGAAGTAGAACCGGAACAATATCAAATTGTGTAACTTAATCGATTAGAAAATTAAATTAATTTTATTATTTATACAATGTAACATAATATATCGTGAGAAAATGACGTGCAACGCTCAGATATTTATTGTATAGTATTAACAGAGTGATTTTTAATTTATGTATATGAATGCAAGACTGCATTATCTTTAAATAGGGTTGCAATATATTTAATAGTAGCACAATATATTTAAATTATTTCTATCACATTGTAATTTCTGAATGGAGCTCAATTTTATTTGTATAAATCAAGTCCTTTAAGGAGAACGTCTAAGCCATTCACGTATGTTCATTCTCGAAGTGTATAAAATTGTACAAAATTCTAGATTACAATTTTGTTCCGTAGTTAACATTACTATTATCAATGTTTATATAGTACAAACTATTTGATCTTTTATTTTGTAAATTGACAATAAAATGATGTATTCATGGTTACAAAGTGAACTTAAATTCCAACGGAGCGCATTAGTAAATACGTTGACCCAAAACGCTTCGCTTCGCCCACTAGTCATTTTCGTGCAGCTAAATCTAAACTCGCAACAATGTTATCGCATACTATGTACCCGAATTGTGCTTCTTGAAACACCGCCAGATTCTGTAGGTAACACTCCCTGCAGGAATGATGAGTGCATTGGAGAAAATCAATAAAAAGCCATTTCAAACGTGTCGTTTTGTTTATCTATACTCTGCAACTGTATTATACGTAGATGTGCGTCAAATTGCTGTCCGCTTTCAAACGTTTCGATTTTTTCGCGTCGATAGCGGACAACTTGATTGATACCTCACGCACGAATAAAGAGACGAGATCGAACGATTAATGAGACAGAAATATTCAGCGTGAACGTCGACTTATTTAGCGTTCAACGCATTTCGTCGGATGCATTCTCTTTCGCGCACGTCCCATTAATTGACGGCCAAAGAAATGACTCGACCAGGTGCTTTGTAAGCAACGCTCGTGACACCTCCGTGTGTGGTCCGTCGAACTAATGCGAGGACGCCAAATATGCTTACGCGCGTAATTGTTACCATAATTTCTGTTCGATGCTGTTTCAGCCGCCTCGAACATTAAGGGAACCGATTAATTTTGCTGAATACGCGACAGCAACGCGGCCTGACCTATATCCTTGTTCTAAGCTCTCGATCGAACGTTTAAATTTACGCAGACGTATTGCTTATCACCGGGCGGACTAGCCATTGGCCCCTCGATGATATGCTAAAGCTATCTTCTTACAATATTTGCGTCAAAGTGTTACAGTGTACCTATACTTCCATGTTATAATATTCTGAGAAGTATATGCATTACACGCTGTTCAATTGACACTCGTGAATCTCCATTACGTCATAAGAACAGTTTTATCCCTCTATTTTTATGGAGGTCAATGTCTAATGGCGGAAGACCATCGATAGCTTCCGGTCTGTTTTTAATCCTTTTAACGTCAGAACTACCTGACTGGTCGATACGATTAATTTCAAATTTTATGTTTTTCAGTTATGAAAATTGTAAGGTACGAGCACCAATAGGTGACCAGTTAAGAGAAATGTTTTGCGTGAATAATAGTAAACGCTTGCGTCATTATTAACCCCTTGTCTTACAATAACGTGTGAGACTTGCGGTGAAAATTTTAAACAGACCTTAACAGACACAAATATTGGTCAGTCCTTATGAATTCAAATGAAATATTATGTTTCTGTTATCAATTATTATATTTTACAGCAAATGTAGACATAGAATATGCATAAAATTCATCTCTTTTTTCAGTGAATGACAAAGTTGTTGTATCGATCACAGTTGAGAAATAAACAGGATAAGGAGAAACTCTATACGTGAATATGCTATCTGAACTTCTTACATTATGTAACAAACTGAAGTTTTTTGAGTTATATTATCCAAATTTGATAGATATTTTTGAAAATTCAATATTTGCCTCAGAACTTGACCATCTTTTAAAACGAGAAAATTAGTAATTGACCATATGTTAATTACTAGTTGACCACTTATAGTGAAACCAAAAACAATAAAAGTAATTACTTTAATATCGTTTACTTGCAACGATTATGAGAAATTACAAGTAAAAGGGCAAATACAAATAAAAAGTTAATTCCATCTTGGAAATTGGAGGCATGCAACCAACGTCAATGAAATAAATCCTTAGTTTCTACGATAAACAATTTGATTCAGATAAAACTGTTTCGCAATTGGGTCTATCGTACCTTTATCGAGATTATTAATTTTAAAAATTATTTTATATTTTCCTGAAAAATGATCAGCTACTGATATCAGGTTAATTACTTGCCTTTACCTTAATTGGGAACACGATATAATTAAATTAAGCAATTTATGGACATTCGACTAATTGTCGGATGAATTTTGGCTAGTCAGTTTCGATGTGAAATATGTCGTGTTAATATTTTATAATATTTTATCTGAATCGAGATCATTTCTATATCCATAGCGAAACATTTATTGATTTTCCATCGTTGCGGCAAGCATAGGATTTTATATGTGAATATTTGAAGAATAAATCTAACGGATCAGACGAGGATACATCAGTTACCCTTATTTATCACGACATCACATTTAAAACGTATCATTTCCCCTTGTTCACAAAGTGTACGCAGCTGCACTTTAGAATCCTATACATAGGAGCATCGTTTACTCGAGGGGCGCGCCTTTTTCGAATCTGGCGCGACAGATATCTTCGATCTGCCTCGACCGTTATTGGCCAACGGATACTCATTCCTATAAGACTCCGTTCACACCGGATGTTCGATCGATGATCTCAAACTGTACGTTCGAAATTGAATATAATCGGTTTCATCAATTTATTTCCTTAATAATTATTTTTCTTATACCCACATAATAAATCAATTCTTTCCTGCCATTACTATAAATTTTCCCCACAAATTTAATCCCTTATAATATAAATAATTAATATATTCCACTTCACGTGTCAATAATAAAAATAACTTCATCACCCGTCATATAAACAATTTTGCTCGAAATATTTAATTCGTTCGATCAAACACTTTTTACCTAGGATAATGCACATACTTCCTAATTAGCTGGTTGTTACATTTATTTCAATGTACGCACTCCTATTTAATAAGACATCAACCTCATAAAGAAAAATGTAATCGAAAATAATAATAAAACTCGTCGATAATTGACAAGTAAGTCAAAACTTCGAAATTAACCTGACATTAATTCCTCGTAGGAAAATGAAACGAATTTCTGCACGTTGTGAAGGACTCCTAAAGTTTGGTTAAAGGCGCATCGGTGTGAATCAGTGTGTCAACGGTGGTTAGGTGGTGGGGATCGGGCTTGCAATACATGCAACGTGCACATCTACAGTGGTACAGTACCGTACGGTGCGTTACGTGTGCGAGTCAGTGGTTTTTCGATGATGCCATGGTGATGACGGGATTTTAACGTTCGATTGCTTCTGAAAACGTTGAGATAGGTGAGCTTAATCTCTGCGAGGAGCGAACCGAGCGGCTTTTCACTGACGCAGATCCAGGCGATTTGGCCGCGGAACGCGTGAAACGAGCGGAACAGCGTCGGCGATCAATGTTGGTTCGCGGGTGTGCCCGTTCGTATGCCCAGCCCCGTGTGTGTTCCCTTTTTTCCCTTTTGGTTCCCCACGGGGAAATCCATTTTCCCAGCTAACGCCCGATCGATACGATTTCTTTGAACGTTTGACAACCAGTCGAAGGAGCCGTGAAGGATTCAGTGACGCTAAAATCGGTGTTCGTGCGTGATGTTGTGATCTCGAAGGACAACTCTGGTGAGATCATCGTGACACCATCACCTGTTCCCGACAACGATTGTGTGCGACCCCAGACCCAATTCCGGTTTATATTGTAGCCGCCCGTTGATTATTTTTTTTTCGAACTCACTTGTAATCGACGTATCAGTTTCCTCCTGATCCTTATATTTATTCGTCACTTTTCTGCCATAGAGAGCACGCCCATTTTTCACATCTCCATTGGCAACATGCAGTCCTGCATTGTTTCCACAGGGATTCGAAAATTGCTGAACCGTTCGAAGAGAACAGCGAGCATAGATTCATTTAGGGAAAGTGAAATCGGACGTTCGCTCGTTTGATTAGAAAGAATTATTTTTATTCAATACTGAAAGTATGAATCTTCGGCCTTCTTACTATGACCCATTGCAGGAACCGCATTTTGTATTTTGATTAAATATACATGTGGTAAATTAAAGATGCAAAGTTTATGGAAATTATTATTGATTAATGCTGGATGTGTATTCAGGATGCACGATTTCGGGTAAACTGAATTTTGCATGCTTTGTAAGGTGAATTCCAAACACATTTTTTCTGTTCCCGGCGACCCACTAAAGGGTCGCGACCCTTCGCATAAAAAACTCTGATCTAGACGTTCGTAGTGACACTCGTGAAGCGATCTCAAGGATTAGATCCTCGGTGTTATTCGAGTGTGAAGAAAAAGTAAACCGACTCTTATGAATGCAAATAGGGACCAGAAAAGCCGCGTCGATGATTTCATTCAATAAATTCGTTTTGAATAGTGTAGGTTCAATGGTTGAATTTCCGGTTTCTGTGTGGTAGTGTTTTGTATTTTCTTAACGAGCGAAACGAATTTGGGAATGTTTGCGACGGAGTATTTAAAAATTTGCGAATCAGTGTCGAATTAAGTTCATTACACCTCTTTTAGTCTTAATTACCGAGAATTTTGAGAGAGTTCGTTTTCTATTTCTAGATCAAGAAAATACCGGCCGATCATGAAGCTAATCGTGTGCATTATCTCAACGCTGGTACTGCAGGCATCGGCAATAAGTGAGTGTAATTCTGTCATCGTATTTCGTGTCAACACGATGAATTTAATGTAACACTTGTTACAGTCGATCAATTTTTATAACGATCTGTGATTTTTAATTATAGTTCGTATCCCGGATGTTATAGGAGGTGAAAAATAAAACTGTAGAGTTGTTAGAGACAGATTTGCTTTACTACTGATGTAGTGTTTAATAATGAACTGCATTAGTTATTTTACTGTACATTTAAAATGCTTATAGACACATAAATTAGGAAATTCATTGCTACACATTTCAGGAGTTTCAAAAAGATGTTTGTTTGCTTTCATTTGCTTTAATACCACTGTTTATGCTACATGAATTTTATTTCATATAATTATATGATATTAAATTAAAGGCTTGTTTCCATTATTTTAATTTCATTGACATTTTATACATTTAATTGCATTCTTTTTTATACACTGTTCCAATCTTTTAAATAGTTACTAAAGTATTTTTGTTGATTTTATGTTTCTTTCATATGATAGCATAATATTTATTTAATTGAAAATTTCAGTTTGTTGTTGTTGCACAGCAATAGCAGAATACATTTCAACAGTGTAACAGTTATACATACTTGTCATTTGTATCTTCCATTAGTTCAATCTCCGCCACGGATATCCAAACAACCCCCGACAGATGAACAGCTTTTTCAAGTGGCTCAAGCGAAGGTTAATGAGAACGACAAACCATTTTTAATAGAGTGTGAGGCAGAAGGAGAACCTGCTCCAAGGTAAAATATATGTTATTTAAAAATTCTTTTTTTATTATCCAATAATGAAATATTATCTTTTGTATTTCTCATAAAATATATTTTTCTCTAACATTTTCAATAACGAAGGAACATCACTTTTCATTTCTATTAATTTATTATTCGTGAGGATAACAATTTTATAGGAAGTACTAATTACAAGTTAATGTACTACTAAATTTACATTTTCCAAGAAGATTCCATTCATGTAGTTTCATTGCACTCATATTTAAGTGTAGTGTCTCTGTTCTGCAAAGAAGCCAGAGTAACTGGTCTTAATTACCAGGATGACCTCATAGCCTTAGGGGGTATAAAGTTACTAGTACTGATAAAGATACCTTACTTGTGGTGTAAATTGTACAAGCATGGGAGTGGTCATTGTGTTACCAAAAGAAAATAAATAATATCAATATCATGTTGTGATGTATTTTAATTTTTTTTTTTAAACAGTAGAATTTGTTTTTACTATTTTTAGAACATTGATCTTTATATTCAATAATTACAATTAATATAAATTTTAATTTCTTTATGTATATTTTGATTTTAGATATCGATGGATTAAAAATGGAAAAAATTTTGAATGGCCAGCTTATGACGATCGTATCTCTCAACAACCAGGCAGAGGTACATTAGTGATCTCAAGACCACGAGATGAAGATCTCGGGCAATATCAGTGCTTTGCAGAAAATGAGTGGGGAATAGCCACATCGAATTCAGTTTTCGTTAGGAAAGCTGAATTAAATTCTTTCAAAGATCAAAACCCTATAAGTTTGGATGCAAATGAAGGACAACCATTTAAATTAACATGTCAACCACCAGATGGTTGGCCGAAACCAAATGTATATTGGTTAATCCAAGATACTGCAGGGGGTATCAAATCAATCAATAATTCTCGAATGACATTGGATCCAGAAGGAAACCTTTGGTTCAGCAATGTTTCCCGAAACGATGCTTCTGATGACTTTTACTATGCATGTGCAGCCACTTCTTTATTCAGGAGTGAATATAAATTAGGAAATAGAGTTTTATTGAATGTTATCTCTTCGGGAGTGTCTGCTAGTCAGAACAAACATGAACCTGTTAAGCAGTACGTCAGCAGGAAAAACGAAGTTGCCTTACGCGGTAAAAAAATTGAATTATATTGCATATATGGTGGAACGCCACTGCCACAAATAGTATGGAGTAAAAACGGCGAAGTAATTAGAACAAACGATAGAATAACGCAGGGGAATTATGGTAAATCTCTGATAATAAAACATGTCAATTTTAAAGACGAGGGCTCATATACTTGTGAAGCATCTAACGGAGTAGGAGATGCACAATCGTATTCTATAAACTTGCAAGTAATGGCAGTTCCATATTTCACCGTTGAACCTGAGATAATCAATGCAGCAGAGGATGAAACTGTTGAGTTCAAATGTGCGGCTGACGGTGTACCTGTTCCAGAAATAAACTGGATACATAATGGTAAGCCAATATATGAGGCGCCACAAAATCCACGCAGAAAAGTTACACCAAATTCCATTATCATTGAAAAGCTGACAAAGAAAGACACAGGAAATTACGGCTGCAATGCGACAAATTCGTTGGGTTATGTATATAAAGACGTATACGTGAATGTATTAGCCTTAGAACCCGAAATCACGCAACCCCCGGCAGATCTTACTTCTACAGTTGATGGCAAAACAGTGAGAATTACATGTCGAGTGTTTGGGGCACCAAAGCCTGCCATTAAATGGGTTCGAAACGATCAAGAACTGACTGGCGGTCGATACAAAACTTTAGAGTCTGGTGACTTGGAGATTGAAAATGTAATATTCTTAGATGCCGGAACATATACATGTCATGCATCCAATAAATTTGGACATGTTGAAGCTACTGGTGTGTTAGTAGTTAAAGAACATACCAGAATTACTGATGAACCAGAAGATTATGAAGTTGCTGCGGGCTCTACTGCAACCTTTAGGTGATTTATTATTGTATTTATGTATATTTTACTCACTGAGTATTTTACGGACTGTTAATAATGTGTACCATTGATAACCTATATGACGTGAATCTAAAATCACATAAATTCAACGTACTAATTTACATTTTAACATGAAGTCTAATAATAGCTATTTTTTATTTAGATGTAATGCGGTAACAGATCCGAGCCTAAATCTAGAAATTGACTGGTTAAGTAATGGCGAACCCATAGATTTTGAGATGGAACCACGGTTCATTCGTAGTACTGATTACTCATTAATGATTACAAAAACAACTGAATTAGATTCTGGTACTTATACGTGCGTCGCTCATACGGTATTGGATGAGACTAGGGCGCAAGCAACATTAGTTGTTCAGGATGTGCCAAACGCACCGAAATTAATCAGTGTACGCTGTATGGCAAGCGAAGCATCTGTTCATTGGACTCCCATGGGTGATAATAGAGCTCCAATTTTAAGATATACTATCCAACACAACACAACTTTCACACCAGATACTTGGGAAGTATCGAAAGACTCTGTTCCAGCTACTGAACAGACTTACGTCGTTTCCATGACGCCATGGGCCAACTACACGTTCCGTGTACTGGCTTGGAATAAAATAGGTAAGATTTTAACTACGTAAGGATCAGTCTCAAATGTCACTCGAGAAAATGATCTATATATTTCAGTGTGTAATATAATAAAATCCATTAATGATTATTAATAATGGTTTGTGTAGGACCATCTTTACCATCGCCGCATAGCGATGTATGCACCACATTACCGGATGTTCCATATAAAAATCCTGACAATGTTATGGGCAAAGGAACTACTCCACAAAATATTGTGATATCTTGGACAGCCATGCCACAAATAGAACACAACGCTCCTAAATTCATGTATAGGATATACTACAAACGGGACATACCGGGTGAGAAATGGACTATAGAGGATATACACGATTGGAAGAAAAACGATTTGGTAGTAGACAATCAGCCCACCTATCAGAGATACAAGATCAAAGTTGTAGCCATTAATGAAAGGGGAGAGTGCAGAATTGCACCTGAGGAAATAACTGGATATTCTGGGGAAGATGGTTTGTTTCAATGGATTTGATGATTCTTCAACTGTAACTTAAAAAGCAGTATTGGTAAAATTGTACTTAATTTTTAACAGTTCCACTGCAAGCGCCCAGTAACTTTACATTGAATCATGTAAATTCAAGTACCAGTGCGCAGTTCTCATGGAATCCAGTTCCAGAGGAAACGGTACGAGGTGAATTACAAGGATACAAGATCCAAACTTGGACAGAAAGAGATGGTGAAAAAGGTTTACGGGAAATTGATTTAAGAGGTGGCAACAGGACACATGCTCTTGTAAGCAAGTTCGTTCCGTTCAGCAAGAATTACGTTCGGATACTTGCATACAATGGACGGTACGAGAAGTAAAATAATTATTTTTAAATGTCGATTTCTAATGGTATCTAATACAAAGGATTTTCCTTTAGATATGCGGGACCCCATTCTGAAACGTTAAGTTTCGATACCCCAGAAGGAGTTCCAGGTACAGTCCTTAGTTTAGAGGCGTATCCCATGGGTTCTAGCGCCTTATTCTTAATGTGGACCAAACCTGCGGAACCAAATGGTATACTGACTGGATACAGAATTTATTACGAATCCGTAACTGGCACCAGGTTGGGGCCATTACTAGAAAGGAAACCGCACGTCACTGACCCAGAAGCTATAAGTGCAAAGTTGGGAGATTTGGCGCCTGATACAAAGTATCGTATACACATCCGGGCAACGACAAAAGTTGGCGAAGGAGAGAAGTATGTCCCCTAATTTAATATTCCTTTGCTATTTTTCCATTGAAACTAACAAATTCTTTCTTGTAGCTATTTCATTGAACAGAAAACACGAAAGTCCCAACCTCCGGACATACCTCGATTCACATGGGAAGCGATTCCGAAAGAGAATGGCTATTCCAATGTGAGAGTCATTTGGGAGCTGAATCTAAACGGAAATCCAGGAAGTCACTTCTTTGTGAAGTACAAACTTAGAGGTGAAACGATATTCCTCGAAACGGACCCAGAGTATTTGACGAACACGATCGAAATACGTGGATTACAAAGCGGTGAAGTATATGTAATGTCTATCGTTGCTGTGGACGGAGACTACGTAACTGAAAGCGAACCGCAAGACGTTGAAACAAGCAGTGAAGGGCCCATCATTCAACCGAAGGAAAATGTCGCAACTGCCGGATGGTTCATAGGGATGATGTTGGCGATAGCGTTCCTTCTCTTGGTACTTATAATTGTTTGTGTCATCAAGCGCAATAGAGGTGGCAAATACGCAGTACACGAAAGAGAATTGGCTGCTGGCCGAGGTGACTATCCAGAAGAAGGCGGTTTCCACGAGTATTCGCAGCCTTTAGACACTAAATCAGCCGGTGGCCGAGCGTCTTTAGCGTCGTCCTCTCATCAAGATGGAAAGCAGCCGGAATCTGACACAGATTCAATGGCGGAATATGGAGAGGGTGATACAGGTCAGTTTACAATGTAATAAAGATCAATTTATATTAACAAAGTAATGAGGCAATTCAGGTAAGTATATTCTTAGTGGTGTAGTACTAGCGCACCAATTCCCACATAAGCACATGCAACCGGAAGCATGGTTAAAGACATTTCTGTTTAAAGGTTCATTAGTTTTCTTTTTTAGAATAATTATGTACACGTACAGTATTGATTAGAATATTATTTTACAATTTATTGATTTGTTTCTATAGTTAGTACCTTAAGTTACGTTATATTTTGTTCCCCGTTTTATTTCCTTTGTTGCTTGACTCAATACAGAAGGCATGAACGAAGACGGATCATTCATTGGTCAATATGGTCGACATCGTAAGCAAGAACCAAACTCACAAGCATTTGCCACATTGGTTTAAGGTCAGTCGATATTTTCAAACATTAATCGCATTATTTGTTGTATTCGACGTGTAAAAAAAAAACACTTCACCTTTAAAGATATTCATTTAAATCGTATTTTATTAAAGGACGTTTCACGGAAGACGGTTCTTTCATTGGACAATATGGGCCCAAAGGTAGGCCAGAGGAAACACCACCCATTCCAAGCGGCACTATGGCTACATACGTGTAACCTCTGCCATTATCTTAATCAAGCCGCATAAAAATTGTTTTCTTGTCAAGAGTGGGGACTCCCGTCCTTACTAGCCGCAGCAGCTCTGCTATGCACCTTGCGCTGGGCGCAATGTCCAATACTATACTGCCAATTAGACTTTGGTTTTGGGTTTTATAGTTTATGTAGAAAAATAAGTAAATGTTTCTATATTGAGCCGGTGTAAGGAATATACAAGTCATGCACAACATTTGTACATTCGTGTCATCCGAAGACTTAATTCCTCTTAAATCTTTGATACATACATTTTAAATGCAGTGCTCGAGTATTTGAGCGATTTCTTTGGTAATTAGAAGAATGTTGATACGAGATTATTTGATCGTGAACTGTGAGTACAATTTGTTAGTCGAGTTGAAATTAGTTATAAATGATTAGTTTGTTGAACATCTTTAATTAATTATAAAACCCAAAGACGGTAGGTGTCTCATAGCGTGCAAGCTATTTATGGACATAATATAGTAGGAAGTACTCTAGCATTGACCGTAAACATTTTTGACAAGGCCAGATTGGTACAGACACTACAGCTTATCACAGGGTATACGAGTTACGTTTATATTGTTCTAAGTATGTATGGCACAAAAGCATGATGTACTTTTGAGGCTGCATATGAGGATCACGTCTATTGCGAAAAGAAAAAAGATAAAAGGGGGGTGGGGGGAAAGGTAGAGAAAATAATCAGTACCTATAATTCGTGTTATACAAAAATTAGTTAGACTGGTGTTACTTATATGCACTCTTAAAAACGGAGGGACTGATGTCAAGAAGCGTGTCACAATCTGGCCTCGACTGATTCTAATTTTAAACTAAAGAAAGCGAAAAGAGGATTGTTCTAAGGACCTTTAGATACAATCAATTTTTACTCTGCCGACAGAGGGCCAAATATAAACGAATCAGTGACTATCTAACAAGTATTGTGCACTTGCACTTTCATTAACGATACACGAACGACAAAAATATATGAAAGATATTATTATTAATGCTATAATATTAAAAGGAACATTGTACATGCACTATAGTAGTTAAAGAAAGAAAAATTTCACATGGCCTCTAATTGTTGCTTTTTGTATGTGAAACGTGCTTTAGCTGAGACAAAATGAGGAGTCCTTTTATTTTTATGGATGTTTACTTTTCCTTTTTTGGTAATTTTATTATAATCCAATGAATAGAAGGTATTGATTATTTAATATATAAAATATTAAATATATATATATATATAGAGACATATATTGATTATTAATTAATGCTTAGATTCTTAAAAATGAATGCGATCACACAGGAGCAGCTATTATTACGTTTTAATATATAAAATGTTATGAGATCATAGTGATGATCCGTTGATTTCTACAAGAGTAAATGTACGTTTTTATTTACCGTATTAAGTTTAGCATATTCAATGCAATGTACAGGTTGTCTGCAAAAGTGTCGCGAGCAAATATGTCAGGTACAAAAATAAAAGAAAGGTACAAAGTATAGAATACTTACAATACATGTGCGCGTAAAGTTCGTAAAAATGTATATGATAATTCCAAACAAAATGACGTACACCTCTCAACTTGCCCAAAAGGACAAAAGATATACTAAAAGGTTTTCTTTGGAATTTTCATTAGAAAAGTTTGGATTGGGTGCCGTTGTTAGAACAAAAAATCCGTTTCTTTTAGCGACAAGAGTTCCACGTTTCAATTAATATTTGTCAGGGTCTTTTTTGCCGATTATCCTGTACAAATATAGAAAATAAATGGCTTGGACGTCACGTAATTTTTACGAACTCTATACATATATACGTACGTATATAGGCGCCCGCGAAAAGGGAATATGTATTGTAAATTAATAAAAAGAAAAAAAAACAATAATTTATTGTAAAGATACCGAAGTATATAAAAAGAAAAGTGAAAGCGCAGAGGCATATATATGTAATATATTAGAGCGTCACTTGAGCTATTCATTTGACAAAATGATCAACTCTACGAAAGGGACAGTAAGAAAATTTCACGAAACCACAGAACGCATAATCAAACTGAAAATGTGTTGGCACAAAAAAATTCGAGAATATTTGAGAAAGTGAAGTTGGTCAGTTTGGCCTGTGAACGACTCATTTATCGTAAACCCGTATTAAATTATATTTCCAAGAATAAGTATCGACGTCCAAGTCAGTTACAATCGTATGCAATTACGTTGTCAATGTAATCTCTCCTAATCGTATTATCTTTTGTATATTTTCGAAAACGTGAAAATCACTTTACCATCTTCTGAATCTCCGGTTGGACGAAACACATATTACCACTTATGTGATCTTCCAAGTAACTTTCGTACGTGTAAATGGTGTTTTGATACTTTTTAATATATTTTGATACTTTTTTTTCTCATTTATTATATTATTTCATTACTTGTTATATTGTACGAACTTTTCTTCTTTTGTATTCACGGTAGGAACGTATAGGGGCGTTTAATATGAATCTCGTGTGTTGAATCTGACATTTAGTTTTATTGACTTATGAACAATTTTATTTATACATACATACATATATATATATATATATATTATTGCGAGGAAATCACACCGTGCCAGCGCAGCTCATATTTAAACCGAAATGCGATGTACGACTGTCTA